AATGATAAATTTCTTCATAGTCATTGCTATTGTTATCAACACATCCCTGCCTGCTTTATGCTGTTGAAACAGCTGGAACAAGACTAGTCTTGTCCTCACCAGGCACGTGCTCATGCATACATGCACACTCCCTGCCCTTGCACTGGTTAATTCCTAATCATGGAATCATAGAATGGTTTGGGTTGGAAGGGTCCTTTAAACGTCATCTAGTCCAACCCCTCTGCAATGAGCAGGGACATCTTCAACTAGATCAGGTTGCTCAGAGCCCCGTCCAACTTGACCTTGAATGTTTCCAGGGGTGGGGCATCTGCCACCTCTCTGGGCAACCTGTTCCAATGTTTCACCACCATTTTTTCATTGTAAAAAAATTTCTTCCTTATATTGAATCTGAATCTCTCCTCTTTTAGTTCAAAAGCATTACCCCTTGTCCTATTGCAACAGGCCCTGCTAAAAAAGTTTGTCCCCCTCTTTCTTATAAGTCCCCTTTAAGTACTGAGAGGCCGCAATAAGTTCTCCCCTGAGCCTTCTCTTCTCCAGGCTGAACAACCCCAACTCTCTCAGCCTGTCTTCATAGGAGAGGTGCTCCAGCCCTCGGATCATTTTTGTGGCCCTCCTCTGGACCCGCTCCAACAGGTCCATGTCTCTCTAATGCAGAGAGTTTTTAAAGTTCTTCCTGGTTTTGCACCCCAGCAACCATATGTGCTAGGAAATGCCGAGTGCTGGAGAACACGACGCCAGGACTCCTCTAGGTGGCTGAGGAGTGGTTAAGGAGCGGGTTAGAATCTAGCAGAGAGGGAAGAAGGATTATTTAAAACTACTTTCACCCCACATATCTATCTGTCCCCCCTGAGAATCAGGCTGGTTTGTGCAATGCTTTTTTAATACAGCGCAAGTTATTGAGTATTTCTCAGGATCATCTTGCAAATTACATGCATCTTGATTTGCAAGAGACGCATCAACTACGGAGCAATGCAGCATTTGACTGGACAAATTTAAACAGTCTTTGGATTAATAAACCCCAGCTAATCCTGACCCAGGTGTAATCAGTCAAGCACTGATTTCCTAAGAAGCAAAATGGTTCACTCACTTCATTTTGACAGTTTGTCTACTCTTTTCACACCTGAAGTCATTTATACTTGTGCATCAGTTTATCATTGTTGCATTGCTTCTCCTTTATCCCTCTGCTTTCCCTTCATGTTATCTGGATTTTCACATAATTCCTCATGCTTTCCTTTTTTTTGGATTTTACAAGCAAAGCACAGGCACCAGGGGGAAGCTCTTCAGTAGGTAGCTTCCCCTTTGCAGGCAAGTTGAAGAGCTTATCTGGGATATGAACCCACGACCCCTTGTACATTAAGATCATTCGCTACTCTTAAGTTTGTGGTTTTTTCCCCTCCAAAGGCAGGAGTTTAATTTATGATGTTTTCAAAGAGACATAAACCCAGCTTAACACTTCTTGTGGCTCGTCCATCACTTCCTTTGAAAAGAGGACTCTATGTGCTACGGCATATGAGTTAAATTCTAACTTGAGTAACTCCTTTTGTCTGTAGACATTTCCCCAGCACTTTAAACTATGGTCTCCACTTCAGTATATCCAGTGCCAAAATGCCCCCAATAACCTTCCTTAGTGCTGCTCTATGTGATCTCCTCATCTTCAACCCATTTTGTGAGAAGGGAGCTGCATTGTTATGAGCACTACAACCTTCAGGAAAGAAAAGTGCTACAGTGTTCAAATCCTTACTAGCTATTTTTATTAACACCACAACTATTGCAGTCTCAGTCTTCTTACAATGCTGTAGCATATCAGCAGAAACTTTTGGAAAGGAACACAAATGTTTCCTCTGGAAAAAAGGAGCCAAGTTCTCCGCTGTCTTCTAGACTATATACATAATACCAGTTCAGCAGCTATTTTTACCTCAACTCAGTTGATACAGCTTTTCATCTGGCATCAGTTTTGTTGTATTCGTTTAGATTTGGTTTACTTTATTATGGACTATTACTAGCTTAGACTTTGGGCTGATTTCAACATGTTCCCGCAAAAGGTCATGGCACCGATTTAATTAAAACACAACAGTGGTGTGTCAAACCTGTGACATTTGTATAAGCAAACTCCAATGCTAAAACCCTGAACTTTCCTGGTTTAGGGCTCTGATTTTCCCAAACAGGCAAAGTTAAATTATTCAGATTGAGAAAAATTAAATTATTCAAATGTCAGCAGCTCATTCCCATATCTCCCAGGACTCCCATCTGAGCATTTCAGGGAATATCAGTTGACATTCAGTGTACAGGTCCATACAGCGATAGGTACCGAGCATGATATGTTGATGGAACAAGCACAAAATATGCTGCTTGACTTGTTCATCCCATATTCTCTGAGCATATTTACTTTTCCATTGCTAGTACCAGTCAAGGACTGTCCCAAAAATAAGATGGTTAGAAACCTTTCTAAAGTTTATTTATTAATTTAATTTAACAGCTTTTGGTGTTAGAAACTGGTAGGCTAAGTGCACCTTCAATAAGTGATGTTGATGATAGCCAGTGTTACCCCCTACAGCACATATACCCAGTAGAGATGTTTGTAGCTACTTCCAGGACTGTTTCATCTCCAGGACTTCATTAAAGCAACCTGCTGCTTGCATTTAATCTGCTTTGAATTTGTCTAATGCAGCAAAGACATATTGCAAATGCCTTTTTTTTGTTTTCCTTCATTGACTGTGTAAGGACACCAGCTGTCAGCCTCCTCAACTCATGCCTGACACTTGAGTGAAAACCTCACAGTGAGTAAAATTCTACAATTGATTTCGGTAAGATCATGGCTTCACCCTTTCTGTTCTCCAGGAGTAGTACTTAAAAACTTCAGGAAAAATGGAATCTTGCTATTTTTTTTTCCTATTCCAAGCTATAATTTGTCTTCACTCTATTTTTATTAATTTATATGTGTGCAGGGAGATGGATAGGAAGAAATCTAGTTACTGTTTCTAGTCCTAGTATTTATATCTTACAACAAATCTGAACTTCATGAAATAGGATTGTATTTCTCTCCTCTGACAACTTACTACATTGGAATGTATTTTTCTTCCTAATTTTTTTAAGCAATAATAAAATAATTCTTTTGTACCAAAGCTTTCTGTATTAACTCGTTTCAAAAAGCTATTCGAGTTATGTCTACCATGCTAAATTTTGTAATATGAGCTGTCTAGTGCAGCCATGAAATTTAGTGTGACCTGAGGGAAAATTCTGCTCTGATTTTCCCATTACCAATCCCAGTTTATGCATTACACAGGTATGAACACCTGTTCTATGACTAGAGATACTACGCTGATATCAGTCAAGAGACCTGCCATGCAGCTGTGAGAGGAACAGTTTATTTGCAAATATCTAGTAAATATGGTTTATATTTTTTTTAAATCCCTGCAGTTAACATTGTTATTCCTATAAATGTGTAAAGTTAGAGCTAACAGCATGTTTCTTTATGATTAAGCACATCTTTAATATCTCATGTTCTCTCCATGGACTGTAGAGGGAGCCCAGAAGATTGCCTGCCAGTGAGCTTGCTGGAATAATGTGAAAATAATTTCACACTAAGCCTCTCCACTCAGAGAAACAGTAGGGAATAGCCATTGCTGATCAGTTGATTTAACTGAATGATTTGTAGATTAGCAAACA